GCAGGAAAAAAAAGCCATTATGCTGGGACTTGATCGAAATGATCTGCAAGATCTGCTGCCTAGAAGAGCTGGATCTTGCAAATGAAGTCTGCAAAAGCTTGGTGCTGCGTGCAGATGCAGATTTTCATGGAGCTAGGCAAGATATAAAGACATAGGAGTGGAGATGCTTGCTGGAGATGTAGAGAAGAGAGAAAACTGCTTGTTCACTCTGTTTCCATGCAAGTATTTGCCATCTGCAGATCAAGATGGATCAAACATTGTTTTAAAAGTTAGACAACCGGTCTTTTTATCCCACCAGCTGTTGGGATGGAATGTGTTCCATGAGTGCCACAGGAGCTCCTGGATGAGGCTCTGGTGTGTGTGTGATTCAGGAGGTGCGTGCCAGGCTCCCTCTGACCTCACCGTGCACCATTTGCGTGCTTCTTATTTGTAAGGCTTCAGAATGAGACGCTTTGCAGTTGGGAATTAAAGAGTGGAATTGAAAAGCATTCAAGTATTTGCATCATTTCGCTTTATGTGCTGTTCCTTGCAGTTACTCCTGACTTACACAAGTCTGACGTCAGGCTCAGGATGACGTCCTTAAACAATTGCTTTAAGTAGAAAAAGCATTTGAGGTTTTTGTGAGGAACTCATAGCTACAGAAACAGTATGGCAAATAATCATAGGAAAAAAAACACGAAGAACAGTTTTTCTTTCATGTTACAAAGGGAGTAAAATAAAGGTTGAATGGAGAAGAAAGGGAAAAGAAGGATGAGGGTAAAAACAAGAAAGTGCACAGTTCATACACCATGAAATGAGGGAAACAAGGAGGGCTCTGAACCGTTAGTGCAAAAAAGTGAATCAAAACGTGGAGTTGTGCCCATGATTGTCACACAGCTGGAATGAAAGAAAACGAATGAGCATGAATGTGCTGAAGGCAACAGCGAAGCAGCAGCAACAGCGTCGAGAATGGATTGTTTAGAGAGCACAGGATTAGCTGAGATCCCAAAGTGCAGATGGTGCTGGATGAAATAATCACCTCGGTCTCGAGGGAGCGAGTGATGCCTGTGGGTTGGCCACACGATGAGGGAGAATTGCTGTGTAACCAAATGAAGAGAACACTAATTGAGAGCAGGTCCCAGGGAAACGTCCAAGCCTCTCTCCCAATTTCTGGCCCATAAAAGGAAAAGAGAAAGGGGGGAAAACAAAAACAAAAAGAAGAAAGAAAAGAATGGTCTTGCTGCGTTTTGGAGCAGTACAGATATGCAGCTGAAGTTGCATATGAGTTTGAGATAATTAAACAGATTGCACAGATTCCAGCTCTTAGTAAGGGTCACAATTTTGGGCAAAGTGTTCAGATCTCTCTGTCAATATTAATGTTTTCCTTCTCTTTATGGACGCTCTCTACATTCAGAAAATAGTCAGGTCTACCAGATGAGGCAGATTTTCAGAGTAAAGGCAAAACTCTGGATTTGGGAACAGAATCCCTGAGCCCGTGCATAAATATTTGGGTTTGGGAGCTGCGTATGGAAGTCACGACCTGTAATTTAATGTCTAAAACAATTTCTTCCCATGAGTGGTGTCATTTCTCTTCTTGTCCCTGCAATTCTGGGAGTTACTGGGGGTGACAGAAGCCTCAGCTGCTTCTCATCACTGTCACCTTGCACCAGCAGCCCCGTGCTGCTTTCCTAAAGCTGCAGCCCTGAAATCACCACGATGTTGGAGAGCTGCAGAGGAGAGCAGGCTGGGATGAAGGTTGGCTCTGTGTGGCTGCAGCCACATTGTCCCAAGGCCTGTGCAGAGGCTCTCAGGATGGGGAGGAACACCTTCCATTAGGCCACGCTTTGTGTTCAAAGCCCTCTCTGCATGTTACGTCTGTAGTTGCTCAAACTGAGCTCTTCAGACCTCTTCCCTGCAGCCAGGCTCCCGTTTTGAGCATATCAAGGCAGCCTGTTTTTAATTTAACCTTTCCTTTTTGAGTGGATTTGTCTTGAAAGTCATGAAAAGGCCGGGCTCCCAAGCTGCTCTGCCTCTTCAAGAGCTGCAGGAAGGTGTGTGTTTTTTTTAAGCTGCACCAAATTTATCCCTAATGCAGCTTACCAAAATAAAGCCAACATCAGCGCTGCTACGGCAGCCTTTCCAATGACCCCTTAGGTCAAATAAATGTATGTTTCCTATGCAAAATTTCCCCACGACACCTTCAAATGATCTGAAGAGTTCAAATAACGGCAATTGACATTTGTGTAGGCACAGCCCTTGAGTGCAACATAATAAATCGTGTGTGTTTGTATACATGTACTGGGGAGTGGGAGGGGGGGAGTATGTGTATCACTACTGGAATGGCATGAAACTCTTTAACCCTGCAGAAATAGTTTTATTTGATTGCAGAGACAACAAACCAGCTCCACAGCAGCACGGACATTTGCTCTCGCAGAGCTGTGCCTCTGGAGGAGATGTGAATTATTTCAGGTTGCAGGCTGGGATGCTGCACACACCTCACGGTGCTTGAGGGGATGTGAGGATGAAGCACTGAGAAGCAACCCTGGTCTGTACCCCCATGGAAAGGGAAGCAGGCAGTGAGCAAAGCAGGGCTAAGCGGGATTCTGGGGCCGCTCCCAGGGCTGGGGATGTTGGTCTGGGAAAACCCTGCTGTGGGGAACTGTAAAAATGGATCCAAATGGGGAAAAAACAGGAGCAAAGAGGCCACCTTGCCACCAGTGGCTGCTGAGGGTGTGAGGTACATCTGGCATAGAAAATCACAGAAGAGTTAATGTGAAAATCCCAGATGGTTGAGAATGCAGTGCATAGAAGTTCCGTTCTCTGGGGTCACTTTCTCTGGGAGAGGTTTCCCACAGACAGACACTGCTGCCTCTGCTTTTGGTTTTGGAGTTAGGCCCAGAGGGAGGTGAAATCTGGGACCCGATCTGGCCCAAGTTCCACACTTTAATCTTCCAGATCTTCTTTAGAAATAATAATAAATCCACACAAACATCACTGAAGAGCAAAGCCCCAACCATTGCGGAGAAGCAATCCCAGCTTATGAAACGGGCAGGCAAGCAGCTTACCCACCCCTGGCTGTGCTCCCTGCACCAACTTGGCCATGTGGCCCCTTTCCATCCTGCTAGTAATGTATTTCCTTACTCAATTGCTCCTCAGAGAAACTTGTCAACCAGTTGTATTTTAAACTCTCCAGCTGAAACCCGGGCCTGATGTGGGGATGGGCAATGGAAGAGATGCTGCAGCACAATTTTGATTTTATTTCCCCACCCCGTGGTGGGAGGAGTTCAGCTTTCAGCTCAGCCCCCTCCCGGCACTGTTGCAGGCACCTATATATATGTGTGTGTATATGCATATAAATGTGCATAAATATCTCACAAGTGTGTGAAGAGAGCACTGTGCTTTGCTGTGCACACATAGCACAACGTGTGCATGTGACTGCCTGCCTGCACTGACCTTAAAGCAGAAATCCCACCTATAGATGCAGCATGCAGCACGCAGACCCTCCGGCAGCCCCACGTGTGAGCTTTGGCCAAACGCATCCAACCGATGCTGCGTCCATACGGAATCACAGAACGATTCCTTTTAGAAGGGACGTTTAAATCAGATCCAGCTCAATTTTAACTGCTTTCACGGCATTCTAAGCGCTGTTTTCTTAAAGAAAAGCAGTGGGTCGGGGCCGGGGGCCGCCCGCACCCCGCACTGCCGTCCCTGCGCCCAGCCCCGCATCCTCGCACTTCCACCCAGCGGCCGCGGAGCGGAGACGGCAGAGCTGGAAAAGTCGGGCGCTCCGAACTGCAGCCTCGTTGTCACCCGACGGTCGCCTTTTCTATTCTTTTAAAGGTTTTTCTGTTTTTTTTCTTTTTTAGAATTTTTTTTCCCCTCATCTATTTACCGTTTACCAGCTCATCCATATGGAAGACGTGGCTTACACTTCCTGGAGAACTGTACTTTTAGGACTAATTGATTCTGGTAATTAATTTGTTCTACCTGCTGGATCAGATGGAAACGCTGTCCGTGTGCCCAAGGATTAGCACTTGCCTTTCTAACATCTTTCTTAATTATCTAATAGCATGGGTTGTGCGAATTCTGGCTCTATTAGAACACTTTTACTATTAACGGTAGTGATTGGAATTGTGATGACAACTCGATTTCAACAAATTAGAGCTTAAAATCAGGAGATGAAGGAGAAGTGCCTTCTTTTAATTTCCCCGAGTTTAACATCAATAATTAGAGCAATTTTCTGAGATGCGAAGCGAAATTATCTCGGCTATGATGTGGTGTATCACCCTCATTTTAGCAAATTGACTCCGGGGAAATGAATGTTACAGATTAGGGGGGGTGGGGGGGAACACAAACAGAGGCCACACAGGGGGGGGGCTGGGGAGGGTTGGATGTTGGCAGAACACGGAGTGGGGAATGGATGGGAACAAAACCCGCTGGGGTAACAAGTGGAACAACACACGTTGTGTGCGTGGGGACCGGTTAGGAGCGGAGCAGGGCACAGGTCGGGAAAGCGCAACTCATTTCTTATTCTTTTTTTTTTTTCCCCTTAAGTTTTGGCGCTTCAAGACAAACGGAGAACAAAACCAAAAGCTTTCGGAAGCCGCCCCCGGCCCGGCGCTGGGGAAGGGGCTGATGAGGGTGGGGGAAAAGTGCTCGGAAGCGGAGCCGTTCCGCGTTTCTTCCGCGCCGCCCCCGCCCGCCCGTTTCGCCATTGGCTCTCGGAGCGCTGCCGGCCCCGCGCCTCAAAGCCGCGCATCGCCCCGCGCATCCCGCAGCTCCGCGTCCCCCGGCTCTCCCCGTTTTCCCTTCTGTCTGGGAGATTCGGGTTTTTTTTTTATGTCCCTTCTTATTGTTAATATCGCTTTATTATTATTATTATTTATCGTTCCTCTTATTTATCGTTCCTCTTATTTCCCTTTCCATCTCCTCTCCCGGGACGCGCAGCCGGCCGTTCTTTCTCCTCCGGCCCCCAGCCCCGCTCTCTCCGTTCCCCGCAATCCGACGCGGGGCTCTCCGAGATGAACCTCAACTTCACCTCGCCGGTTCACCCGGTCCCCGCGCCCCGACCCACCTCCTTCTTCATCGAGGACATCCTGCTGCACAAGCCCAAGCCCCTGCGGGAGGTTCCAGCCGAGCACTTCGCCGGCTCCTTGGCCTCCCGCGTCCCGCTCTTGGACTATGGCTACCCCCTGATGCCCGCCCCGACGCTGCTGGCTCCACACCCGCACCCGGCCCTGCACAAACCGGAGCACCATCACCACCACCACCCCTACTTCCTCACCACCTCGGGTAAGTGCGGGGCTTTGAGGGTGCAGCCCGAAACGGAGAAAGGCTCCTCAGCCTCGCGCAGGGTGTGGGTTTGCGTTTTGGGGCTTCAGGTCCCTGCCTTGCCGAGCCCTCGGCTTCATCAGAGGGGATCGGATATCTCAACCAGCCGAGATTTTGAGCCCAGCGACCCCAGGCTTTCCCTCTCCCCTTCTGCCCGTTTATTTCGTTTTGAACTCTTTTTATATTACGGTTCTGGAATGGGACCGGGCTTCACTTTTCCACGTCCATCAGCAGCGCTGGGGCCGTGCCGGACCGTCCCGGGGCGGGGGGAGACGTCGCGCCCGTCCGTCCCCACGAACCCTTCCCAGGGCCGCTTCCTCCAAAGTTTCTCCTCTGGAGGCCGAAGTTTCTCTTCTTGTGGCCGCTCTCCCACTGCCTTCACTTCCCTCGGCTTTTCTCCCGTCTCTTGGGTGCATTTCGTTGGCTTTAATTGCTCTGAGGGTGATCGCTCCGTTTCTGAGGTTGGCTGAACCGCACCTGCTGGGGAGGGTTTGGATAGGGTGTTTTCAGAGAGATGAAAAAAAAAAAAAATAATAGAAATGAATAAAATAGAAATAAAGCAAAATAAAAAGAAAACAAAATAAAAATAAAGATTTCGAAAACGAAAAGAACAAAACAAAACAAAAAAAAAAAACCAAAACGACCCATATATATCCAGGGGGGCAACGGCACTGGGAAAGCTCACGCAGAGCCGCTGCTGCCCGGCTCCGGTTGGCCGCAGCCCGGCTCCCCGCCGTGTGTCCCCGCAGGAGTGCCGGTGCCGGCTCTGTTCCCGCACCACGCTCACGCCGAGCTGCCCGGCAAGCACTGCCGCCGTCGCAAAGCCCGCACCGTCTTCTCCGACTCGCAGCTCTCCGGTTTGGAGAAACGCTTCGAGATCCAGCGTTATCTCTCCACGCCAGAACGGGTGGAGTTGGCCACGGCGCTCAGCCTCTCCGAGACGCAGGTACGGGGCCGCCGGGCTCCGTGCAGCCTCCTCCTCTTTGCTGTACCTTTTTCTTTCCCGATTTTTCTTTTCTTCTTTTCACATTTTTCTTGATTCTTTTCTTTTTCTTTTTTTTTTTTTTTTCTTTCTCCTCCAGGTGAAAACCTGGTTCCAGAACCGGCGGATGAAACACAAAAAACAGCTGCGGAAAAGCCAGGACGACCCAAAACACGAGGAGAACCGCGAGCAAAGCTCCCCCGAGCCGGAGCTTCCCGAGCCGGCCGCAGCTGAGCCCCGAAAAGTCCCCCCCGGCTCCTTCCTGCTGCAGGACCCCGAGGACGAGGTGGACATCCTGGAGGACGGGGATATTCTCGCCGCCCCGCACCGCCTTTAGGAGCTCTTAGGGCAGCGTTGCGCATCCCTACAGCTCTCCCCCAAGCCCGCGTTCTGCCGGGGTGCCAAGGTTTGGTGTCGATACGGAGGGAAACAAAATCCCCCGGGTTCCTTTCACCCCTTTGGCTTCATCCCAGCATCACCCCAAGCCTGAACTTTGCTTGGAAATCCAGCGAGGGAGAGCCAAACAAAAACAAATAGAACCAAACCAACCAACGAGCAGTTTCCTGTAAGTTCTCCCTTCCCTTTGAAACATCGGACTTTTCTCTATTCCCCGAAGTCCCCTCGGTTTTCAATAAAGGTGTTCCGTGGCTGCGTGGTGTGGTTACTGAACGGGTGTGCTGAGAGCGGCCGATGGGGCGGGGGGCATCGCTCAGCTGATTCCCATCTGGGAAAGGGGAGCAGCAGGAATAACCCCAGCCCTGCAGGGCTGCACGGAGAGAATCGCCCCGGCTGTTTGCAGCCGCGATTCCTCCGCAGCTCCAGGTGAGGGAAACCTGCAGGCTTCCCCTGCACGACTTTCGCTCTCGTTTCCTCTCCTCTTGCAACAGCCTCTGAGCTCCGCGCTGCAGCCGCCATCCGCGCTCGTTTCTCCTTTCCCTTTCTGCCGGGGAAACGGATTTAATTCCCAGGTAACCAAAGATTTATTCTTTTATTTTACCTCGGATGAGTTGTGCTGGGCTGCCCTCAGCACAGCCCTGGGGCAGAGGTTCTCTCTTCACTACCCCTTGTTTTTTTATCTTTAATCTCTTAACGAGAAAGAGATGCGGGCTTTTTTTTTGGTGCCGCCGGCACTTCATGCGGTATTTTGGATCACAGGCCGTGCGGGTTTGTGCAGGGAAACTGTGACCCTGGTTAATACATGGAATAGAGGCTGACACACCTGCGTGCTTCCTTCCTTCCTTCCCGTGGATTTCCCTTGGTAGTTTTTCCATGTAAAATAATAAGGGAGGGGGAAAAATAACACTCAGCTTTCGGGATGGATAATAGCTAGGTGTCTTTTGCCTTGTATTTAGAAATAATTCAGGTGGCCGTTTTTATCTGTCTATAGATACACTGCGGTGCCACGCATCTCCATCACACTTCAAAGAATGCAGCAGCTCCACCTGAGCGCTTTCCCCCCGCAGCCCTTAAAGCTTCGGATTCGGATGTGTTTATCCATGAAATGCTTGGAGATGAGCGATGGAAACACCTTCAGTTTAGTAGGAAAGGATTTAGGACGAGAGGGGTGAAAGGAATCCTCCGAAATTGCATCTGAATGGAAAAAAAGAGAGAGGAAAAAAAACTGTTTCTGTACATTTGCGGGCGGTTCGTGGTGCAAAGAACTGCTCGTTCGCTGCTGTCGCTGCTCAATGAAGACACTGACAGCCATGGGAAAGGCATATAAAAATACTAGGATGGGGCAAGAGTTTCGGGGCACGCACAAGCGAAGGCAGCTTTGTCCTTTGGGTATTCGCACCGCCCCATCGCAAGGCACTGCAGTGGGTGCTGGGAGAACCGCTGTCAGCCCCAGCGCGGTCCGGGTGTGCGATGGGCTGCCGTGCGGTGCACCCAGCGCCCCAAAGTCGGTGCTTATCTCCTTTGCAGAGTCGGGGCGCGCGTTTCTCAACGTGCTCAGGCTGATGAAATGAAAACGTCCTCGTCTCGAACCCTCCTCTTTCTTCCCCGCTATAACTAACGTTATAACAGCGCCTTGAAATCAAATCGCGCTTAAAACCAAAGCCGCTCCTTGCTAATAACCTCTGCCGCAAATCCGTACAAAACACGAACCAGCCGGGGAAATCGCCGTCCCGTGCGGGATGCGCACCGAGACCTGCAGATAACGGGGCGTTTGGGTACAAAAACGGGCTGAGATCGAGGCAGAGGAAGGAAAGGATCAGAGCGAAGCGGCTCCTTGCAGACTGGCTGCAGCACTGCGATGGGATGCGGCGTCTGAACGGCGTGGGTGAGAGTTTGGGAAGAGGTCACGGTGCGCTCGGGGAGGGGAGGCGGTCCTGGGAAGAAGGCAGCGCTGCGGAGCCGCCGCGTGTTCCTGTTGCTGAGGTTTGCTCCCAGGATCAGTGAAACGAGGTTGTGCTCCTGTCCTATTCAGTGAGCACTGCGGGTTTTGCCCTGCCATGCCTTTGTGCCCCCCCAAGGGTAGAAGGAGGCTGTTTGGAAGTGGCTTTTTTTCTTTTTTTCTTTCACACATTACATCCTTGCTTGGGAAATGCCGGGTGGAAAGGCTTGCAGGAAATAATCGATCTTGGTGGATCTCCTGTATTGCAAGATATTGACTGCAGTCTTGATTTTTAACGCAGGATTCTTCTGTGTGTTTGTTTCTTAAATGAAATTGTTCCCTGTTAATCTAATTTACACTAAAGTGCTTAATGCTTGTGGTTGTTGTCATTAAACACAATGTAGATTGATCTATAAAATCTCCCCATTAACGTTTGTTTTATGTTCAACATTTCTCCCTCTGCTGCTTGTAACTTCTAAGGGAAGCTTTCCCAAGCCAGGTTTTTTCAGTCCGTGTTCTGATCACACACATAATCAGGTATGTGGGCTGGATGGAGAATTATTTACCAAATCTTGCTCTGCAGCACAGGTGGTCTCAGTCACTCAGTGTATCAAAACCTGTGGCAGCACCTAGCGAGCCACCCAGGCACAGTGAGAGCAGGAAAAAATGGAAAAAAGGAAAAAATTCCTTTTTACAACCTCCCCTCCTTCCTTCTCTCTGCTGGGCAATGTGCAGTGTGATTTCTTTCCATTGGCAACACGAAGCTTCTGCAGGTAGTCCAGAAGAGGGCTGGGGGGGGAGGGGGGGGTGAGCAGGATGCTGACCACAGCACTGCGAGCACAAAGCATTGCAGCCTCCTGAACTGATGGCGAGTTTGCTCCTCCTCTCCGGTTGCAGTAACAAACAGCATCACCCTAATTAACTGCAGGTTCCTGCTGGGATGGTCTTACTCAGCTTAGAGGTGGCTTATTTCTGCCTTGGATTTGTCTTGTTTCTGTACCATAATAAGCTTAGATGAAGCACCTGTAGCTCCACTGCTGCAACTGCTGTGGGGTGACAACAGCTGCCGATGTGCTCCGTGTTGCTGCAGCAGTAGCAATGTGTCACACCTGGTGGGAAAGGCAGGTGGATATAGAGAGTATGATTAAGAGAGGGAAGGGTGATCTCAGCAAGAACTGCAGTGTCCTTTCAGTCTGCAGGGTTTTTCAAGGCAGAAGTTGGTTTTAATTCTCTGATAGATGTTTCCAGAAGCAAATGCAGGCTGTCCAAATTCTGTGCTCCCCTTTGTTTGGCTTTTGCTGAGACAGCTCACCCGGCTCTCCTGAAGGCTCCATGTTCCCCACCGTTGTGCAGCACAGTGGCTTTGCTGTCACTGCTGCAACAAGCCCTGAATTGCTCCTAGTGACACACAGAGCAGCTCCATGGTGTTACCTGCAGCTGCCTCATTACATGAAGCTCTTGCTGAGCTGCTGGATGCTTCTTTAACACCTCCTCTATCCAGGTTTTTGGTTCAGCATCACTTCTGCTCAAAGCAGGCTCTTGTGTAAGGCAGGCTGCTTTACCTCACCCTTGCCAGCTGTCACCAGAGGAGATTCCCTGTGTTCACCCATCACTGTGACTTTGTGCTTCTAGAGCTGTTCCTCCCACCATGGGGGCAGCCACCAAAACCAGTCCTTTCTTCACACCCCTGCCTCTTCTTGTGCACCTCCCAGCCTCCTTGTAAAGCCTGGAGCTCCCCTGAGCCCTTGCAAGGCCTCCCATATTTCAGAGAAGAGGGGGAACAAGGGAATCCAGAATTGCCTTTTATTGCAACCTGCATCTTGGAGTGATGTGTTTCAGAGAACAGACTTTGGTTTTCAGAAGGCTGACAGGTGATGCTACCCAGGGGTCTCTCATTTGGTATAGATATCACGAAAGCTTTGAATGATTCCACATGTCAGAACTACCCAGTTTGCCTTCTCGACTTGAGGTGGAGTCAAATAATTGTTTTCTACACTTTCCCAATCCAAAACATTAAGGGATGGTGGCAAGTAGAAGAGGCCTGCCAAGTGAATGTTGAGAATTTCCACTGTATGGTGAACACAAATACACTTCTGCCCCTGTAAAGGCAGCCTGTGCTCGTGGTGAATAACACCAGGCTTTGCAAATAGCTGTGCTGCAGCCATGGGGCTACAGCAGGCAGGTTCTACTCCAACTAAATCTCTCTCTGAATACTTAATGCAAAATTCAAAGCCTATTTCTTATTTAAATTCCTCTCCTTCCTAATTTGAAAGACATTAAGTTTTGGCCTTTGCTTTTAAGCAGATGGATGCTCATCATTTACTTGTATGGTCTCTTTTTGTGCCACCATATCTGTTAGGTGCAGGAAGAATTTGCATTAGTATTGAGGTAGATCAAAAGATTTTCTTTGCACGTATGCTGCAAATAATGTCTTTTCCTGGGGGAAAAAAATACAGTGCTTTCCAAATGGAGTGTGAGATGATCATGATCAGACTTTAAAAAATATATACATATGTGTATACATGTATATATATACATATATATATATATATACATATATATATATATATATATATCCCCAAAAAAGCAGCATCATATAAATATGAACAGGTTTAGTATTTAAATATTTCTTCAAAGTTTGCTGTTTTATTTAAGAAAACAAAACCAAAACCCACACCACCTACCCACAAAGGTCATCCTAATTTATGGGAGCTCTAAGAGGTAGTGAGATGACAGATAGGGAGGAAGGTGATCAATTAAGACATTAAGCATTTTGCACCACATGGACGCATCTGCATGTCAGCCGAATAATAAGGCCATCAGCTCATTTTCAGGGAGCTGTTGCCTACTTCAACTCAATCCTCAGATCAAAGAGAAAATGTCTGCTTGCATTTTCTAATCAGAAAAGGGATGCTAATTTAGGTTCCTTAATGTGTGGTGGTAAGAGACTTCTTCAATTAACTGAATTCTATAGCTCAGAAAATAAAAAAAGGGGGATACAA